CTCTACCATTTCCCAATCTACATGCCTGAAATTAAAATCACCCATAATTATGACTTCATTAACAGCTGAAATCTTAATCTCATTGTAAAGTTTCTCATTAATTTCAACAATATCATTTGGTGGTCTGTAACAAATTCCCACTAAAATCCTTTTCCATTTATATCCACTAACAGAAACCCAAACGGGTTCAATGTCCTTGCTGTTATCTTTGATATCCTAAACTTCAACAGAATGTAACTCACATTTTACATATAAAGTCACTCCTCCCCTTTTTAATACTCTATCCCTATTAGATAGCCTGTAACCCTGTATTTAAAAGAAATTTCCATCATCAATATCATCTACATTTAACCATGTTTTAGTTGTTCCCATTATATCAAAATCCTCCATTCCTACCAATGCTCTAAAGTCATCTATTATATTTGTTATACTTCTAGCATTACAATAGTAACAATGAAGCCTATCTTTATAACTACTTCTATACTCATTTCCTATGCTAAACATACCTCTCCATCTTATTCTTTTTTCATTTTGTTTTTCCACTGAACTGATCCCACAAGTCCAACGAGCCAATCTGTTCATCCTTACATACTAACCTAAGCCTAGCATTTAGCCCTAATGACCTACTTATAACTTCATCCACAGAATTAATTCTGGGCAGTATCCCTGAGAAAATTAAGTTATGGCCTTTTTCCTCAAATGCCTCTATCAACCACTTGTACTTATTAATTAGCTCCTCTGACCTACCTTTCCCTACACCATTAGCCCCTACATGCACCACAAAAACTGTATCTCTGTTAGCCCCCTTTATTATATCTCCTGCTCTGTCAGTTATATCCTCCATCTGTGCCCCTCGGTAGCATAATCTGATTCTTTTCTCCCTTTTTACCACACAGACTATTCTATCCACATGCCACATGTCAGGGAATCACCTATAACTATAACCTCCTTATCATCCACATCCTTCTTTGACCCTTTTGTTTTCCTTCCCTCCAATAGTTCCTCATCTGCAGAAGCCAAGGGCTGAAATTTGTTGCTCAACAGAATAGGCTCATTATAACAAATTCACTACTTTTTACTCTAATAGTACTTTCTCTAACTTCCTGAAAATCATTGTTAGCAGATGTATTCCTTGCATGTAAAAGCTTAAGCTCCTCCTGAAATCCTGCTGCCATTTCCCACAGTCTACACTTCTCTTTATCTATTGTCTCTACTTTAATTATGATTGCCTCCAACTTCTCCTCCAACCTACAAACTCTACATAAAAATTGTACATATTTATTACTAGCTTCCTTAAAAGTACATGCCAGTCCCAAGTTCCCAAATAAAAACCACTCATTGCACTCATTATACCTAACAAACTGTAAACGCTTAACTCCTACACTAGTCTTAACCATCGTATTTATACTTGCAGCCTGAAAATAAATACTCAATACCAAATACTAGTAGCCTATTGTTAACACTGTTACTGTTAATCCTAACATTTAAGAACCAATTATATGATTCTTATCACTACTTTGTCTTCACACTGAAGTCATAAAATTTATCTTTAATTATACAGAACTTAATAATTTATTAGAACAATATACATAACATTAATAATAAAATGTATTTAGCCTGATTTATATTATAACCTACCTAAATCTATAAGCTGAATTCAAAGTAATGGATCTAAGTTCAAGTAAACAAGTTAATTTTTAAAAACCAAGAGACAATAAACTAGTTTTTAAAATTGTATTTATCCTGTGATTTACCAGTAAGTTGAAATATACCTAAGCCTAAAGTACCATTACACGTACTAAGCCTATTTTAACGTTCTAGTAATTTACATCACTAAACTGTAACTTAAAACTTTGACCATCTTACTTTTATTTATCAATCTTACTATATCTAGTTATTTAACCCAAATTACTACAAATTATAATAAAAATATTAAATAACTTTCAGGATTCTGAAAGAGCTTAATTTTTCAATGTCATGCCCTTTTCAAAAATGTGAGACAGTTAATATTTGAAACAATCAGAATCATAATGTAATACAACATTAGCATTATAAACCACATTAGCTGAGGTACTAAACCATACTATCTGAAAATCACCAGCAAAAATACTCTTTATAAGTACTTTAATGTGATTATATGATAAACAGTTGCAAAATTACATAAAAACATTATAAATCTTCACACCATCTAGAAAAGTATTAAAAATGAGTCTTAAGTTTATAATACCTTATAATTAGAATTCTATGTAACAAAATCAGATATACCAAAACTGAATACACACATTTTAGCACACTACCACAAATCACAACAATACTACCACAATTTACAATGTTTTAGCTAAGCAACGGAAGATGCCTTCTCTATTGATGAGTACACACCTTTTCCATATCCACATTAAGCTCAGCAAACCAATGTTTATAATCCTTCTGGAGGATGACACAGGCCATGTGCAAACATGCTGCAAAAGAAACAAGTAATATTCCTATCATGAATATAAACAATTAAGTTAATTTAATAGCAACTTATTGTATGAAAACATAACTCTAGTTATGGCTGGAGACGGCTTGAATGGGTAATGAAGAAAAACTTTAATATAACAGCAAATGTACAACGTTTCGACAAGGTTTTGTCATCATCATGTACCTGATTCCACTGATCTACCAGGGGACAATAATTTATTGAAAAAAAAAGTATACCTATTAGATATAAATTGATTTCAAACAAGAATATTGTTAGCCTGATCTGATGCCATTTTGAAAGAACAGGGTCATAAGGTCACACAGGTAAATCTTTTTCAGTGTTTTATATAATTTATAGCCAGAAATGGTGACAACTAATGGTAAAATAAAGTATCAAAAGAGACTTGTTAATAAAAGTCAATCAAGCTGGAATGGACTAGATATATCAAATAGAAAAGAGTTAATGGATTATATGTAGATATATATAAATTATTTTATGCATTTTGTACAGTCAGGGGTGAAATTCTGCAGGTACTCACCGATACTGAGCACCGGAACACATTTTTTAAAGTGATACTAGTACCAGAGCTGCTTTGTTGTTTCTTTTTTTAAAAACAGGTCCACTTCATCCAGCTGAGTTTACCTCTACTTTTTTTTGAAAATTTCACCCCTGTGTACAGTACCATATTCAGTATTCACAATATGAAACATTGAATGAAGAAAGACATCACAACTAGTTCATTTTCAAAAATCTCTTTACATTACTGATTTTTCTAATGTATTCTAGCACTCTTCTAAATGAATACATAGGCAGTTATGTGTCCATAACACGAAGGTTCATTACACCCATGGGTGCTTAACCTGAGGGGCAGAATAATAGATGCCACCCCATTTTGAATATGGTTTTAACAAAACCTTACCCTTGCCCCCTCCACATTTAAACAGAGTTAGCCACTCATGATTATACAACACACACACACACAGCTACATACAGAAATCTGAACTATATACTAAATAACTACTACAATTCAGTGCTTATAGTTCAGTTAGTACTTTAAATGTAGTTTTTGTCTGGCAATTTTTTAAATGCAAATAAGTAAAAAAATAGTACTTTTTATGTTGTAATTGATGTATATAAATTAGAAATGTTTATTTGCTTTTATTTATAGCAGAGCACACAGCCATTTTTTTCTATGGTGAAAAACATAATATTCTAAAGCATAAGAAAAGCATTTGCATCTTATACCTTGGATACAAGTTCAAATGTGCTATGAATCCTTCAATACTTTTTTACTCCCTATTTTAGAAAGAATGTGGGCATTATTTCTGGCTTCCATCATTCTACATAAATGTATATCTTTCGAAATGATATGGAGAAGTCACTGTACAAATCTAGCTCGTATACTATTCATTTTCTAGGTAACATTTAATTCAAGAGTACAGATAATGAAGTATTGAAATCTATCTTTCAAGTACCTAATTCATGTCTTCAGTTAATTTAAAATCATAATTACTTTGCTTTTGTTATTGTAAGTGTACTATTTGAAATATATATCTATAAATAAAAATGTAGCTGAAGTGAAACTTTATGATGGCTTTCAATTTTGCTTACCTAATACTTGTGAATGCAAACAGAACATGTTTTTTAATATCAAGTTTAATTATTTCCATCCCTGTTGTGCAAAAATACAATAACTTCCTAGTTCTTATAAACAAGTATACTATTATATATTTCAAGTTATATTATATATAAGTCATTCCAAATGATTTTTTTTATAGTGGCTTGATTTTTTCCATTAAACCTATTGTAATGAAATTAAACTTCCTAAGAAAAACAACATCAAAAAATATTTTTTTATTGATTTTGTTAGTTATTTTTAACAATCTTTTTCAATATATTAGTGGTTTAACTTTAGACACAAAAATTATGGATATTATTAGTTTTAGTAAATACAAATAGAAAATTTATAAGTGTTATCATTATGGAACATTTACCTCTACACTTACAGTGTATTAGATATACAGTTCATGAAAAATAAGTTGGCCTGAAGCAAAAAAAAAAATGGTATCACAATGTAAAAAAGATGTTTAAATAACACTACAGACACTGCACACATGCTGTAAGTTGACAGTTGTGCTTATACAACATGCATTTCCATAAGCACAGTAAAAACACAAAACTCTTTTTACAAGATATTTATTGTTAAGCACAAAGGACCAAAGGGGGCCATGTGTTATCAAAACCTGATTTATAGCATTGTGAGTTCTCAGACTTACCACTGAGCCAACTGAAGTGGGAGATACAATTGTTTTAAAATGCTTTATGGGTAACAATGAGTTAAGAATATTTTTAAACAGTGCTTCATCAAAAAAAAATAAAACTATTAATGTGTGACCCTCTCTTTTTTAGCCAGTCAGATATGATGTTTCTAATATGAAAATGAAAATATTACAGAAAATTTCAAATGCTGCCATGTGCCAAAAATAGAACTACATAAATATTATATCCAATAAAGTAAAAAATATATATATTGCTATATGTTAATTCTTGCCTGTGCTATTATGTAGGGAAGATGCAAATGCCATCCCCACATTTACTTCCTTTTTTGAAAAGTTTTTCTTTACTTGTTTTTTTTATGCAGTGTTTCAATAGACATAGGAAGGTAGTATTTATAACCAAGTTTTAAATAATGAGGTTCCAATTGTAATATTTATTGGTTATCTATTATTTGCTGGTAATTCCTGTTTCACCCTGTTCTTAAGCTTTTTAAAGAAACACCAAATAAAACTAACTTATTAGGGTAGTGATAACATTATTTAGAATAGAATTACGATTTTTTGTAATCACTACTAGTTAATAATACTTCTAAAACTCGATACTCCAATTGACACTATGTCATCTCAGTGAAATTGGCTGCCACCATTATTTTGGTTTATGAGTCATTATGTGATAAAAAAGAAGCAACAGAAAGAACAAGAAATTCAAACTTTTTGCTAAGATAAATATGATATTTACAGGTATTCTCAGAACTTGCGACTCAACTATTACATAGATATTGTTATAAAAGGCAACACTGTATAGTATTGTAAAGTTCTGATGACCTATTGAGGAGATATTTGAAATACCATTTTAATGAACAATCCGAGCCATCCCTACATAAGCAGTGCTACCACCTGCCTGATATAAAATAAAGTTTGGTACAATTCTTTGCTTATAGATAAAAATATGAACAATTTTAAATAAAAATAAGAATTCAACAATATAATATATTTTCAAAGAAATTCCATGGACTTTCAAATTAATTTTAGGTATTCACAATTCAAAAAATAATCTGGCTTAGCTTATTTAAAAATTGACTAAAATATGCAGGTTGAATAATAATTTGATAATCAAATGTGATTAAATAGTGAACTAAAAGAAAACACACTAAAGATATAACAAGTTCATGTGCAAAAAGGCGTTAAAATAATCCTCTAGAAAAGCTTACCAAGTGCAATTTGATGAGGGGGATACAAAAGACAAACGTCAGTTCTTAGACTGTCATTAACAACTTTCCTATGGAAATAAGTAAAGACATGTTTAAAAAATGTAACTTTAATCAAACACACATGAAATTTAGTTCTGAAGAATCAACTGATATTTTTATTTAAGATTTCTTTCTAACATTTAGTGATTAATAAATCTATATTTATTGAAAATACACTCTTCAAAATATTTTATAATTTATATATTTTATCCTCAATAATGATGGTCTACTCATGCATGGTTTACACAAGCTTTACAAAAAAAAAAAAAAA